TTCGTTAGGAGCTGCTTAACCTTGTCTAGTGCCTCCTAGGCCTCAGGCGTCCATTTGAAACGGTCGGCCTTCTTTAGGAGCCGATAGAAAGGGATTACTCGTTCACCGAGGTGTGAGATAAAGCGGCTGAGTGCGGCGAGCACTCTGTAACTCGCTATACCCCCTTTACGTTTTGAATCGGGCCCATCCTTGTGATGGCCGAGATCTTCTCTGGGTTGGCTTCGATGCCACGCTCGAAGATGATAAAACCTAGCAACATACCCCTTGGGACCCCAAAAACTCACTTCTTGGGATTGAGCTTAATGCCGTTTGCTCGAAGTTTCGTGAAGGTCTGCTCTAGGTTGGCTATGACCTGGTCAGTCCGTTTGGACTTGACCACAATGTCATCTATGTAGGCCTCAATGGTTCGTCCGATGAGGTCCCCGAAACATTTGAGCATACAATGCTGGTACGTAGCCCCCGCATTTTTTGGACCAAACGACATCGTAACATAGCAGAACGATCTGAATGGGGTGATGCAAGATGTCGCGAGCTGATCAAACTCTTTCATCGCGATTTGATGATACCTAGAGTACGCATCAATGAAGCAAAGGGTTTCGCACCCAGAGGTCGAGTCGACTATTTGATCTATGCGTGGCAAAGGAAATGAATCCTTTGGACATGTTTTGTTGAGACCTGTGTAGTCAACACACATTCTCCATTTCCCACTCTTTTTCGTACCAGAAAGGGATTGGCTAACAACTCGGGGTGGTATACTTTCTTGACAAACCCGGCCACCAAAAGCTTCACAATCTCCTCGCCGATGGCCTTGCGCTTTTCCTCATCGAAGCGACGTAGGCGTTGCTTCACCGTCGTGGAACCTGGCCTGATCTTCAAGGCATGCTCAGTGACTTCTCTCGAAATGCCTAGCATGTCCAAGGGTCTCCACGCAAAGATATCTCTGTTGGCGCGGAGGAAATCAACGAGCGAGTTTTCCTATTCGGAGGAAAGCATGGTGCCAATGTGAACTACTTTGCCCTTAGAACCGCTAGGGTCTATGAGGACCTCCTTGGCGCCCTCTATAGGCTCAAAAGACTCGGCCGACCGCGTTGGGGTCGGGTGCTTCTTTGGCGACCTCCTTCCTGATGGCCGCAAGCTCCTTGGAGGCGACGATTGTTGCGGCATGTTCGTAGCACTCGACCTCGTACTCGTAGGTGCACTGGAAGGAGGTGCCGGTAGTGATGACCCCATACGGTGCCAGCATCTTTAGCTTTAGATAGGTGTAGTTGGGGATGGCCATGAACTTTGCATTGCATGGACGTCCCCGAATGGCGTGGTAGGTTCCATGGAACCCGACCACCTCGAAGGTAAGGGTCTCCATCCTATAATTGGTCAGATCCCAAAGGCGACGGGCAGATCGATCCGCCCAAGTGGCATGATCTACTTTCCAGGCACGATGCTGAGGAAAGGTGCTCCGGTCGGTCGGATGCGCGGTCGGTCGATGCCCATGGCGTCGAGCGTTTCGACGTACATGATGTTGAGACCGCTGCCTTCATCCATTAGCACCTTGGTGAGCCACTTTGTGCCGATGATTGGGTTGACCAGGAGTAGATATCTTCCCAGCTGTGGGACGCTTTCCGAGTGGTCGGTCCGATCTAAGGTTATGGCAGACTCTGACCATCGAAGGAAAGCAGCGCTTGGAGTCGTAGGCCACCGTGCCTTCGAAGATCATGAGGCAGCCATCCAGCATTAGAAAGCCACCGTCCTTCCCCTCAGCATTGTCTGTGGTCGGCTTAGGGTTTTTCCTATGCTCCCCCTTGTCGGAGCCTCTGGACAAAAACCACTTCATGGGACCACAGTCCTTGTATAGATGCTTAACAGGGAAAGCATGGTTCGGGCATGGCCCTTCGAGCAGCTTCTCAAAGTGGTCCGGGGTACCCTCGGTGGGCTTCTGACCCCCCTTGCAGTTGGTGGCGGCCACGAGTGAGCACTCATGCCGTTGCTTGTTCTTCTTCTTGATAGGAAAATTGGAGGCGCCTTCATCGGCGTCCTCGTCCCGCTTTGCCTTGCCTTTGAGGCGGTCAAAAATCGCCCCGATCGCCTCCTCGCCCGAGGCGTGGCTGGTGGCGATGTCAAGGAGCTCCTTGGTGGTTCGCGGGCCCTTACATCCCAGCTTGTGAACCAGGGACTCGCAGGCGGTCGTAGACAGGAAGGCTCCTATGACGTCAGCGTCGGCGACGTTAGGCAACTCGTTGCACTACTGGGAGAAGCACCGGATGTACTCACGAAGAGTTTCCCTGGCCTTGTATTGGTAGTTTTTGAAATCCCATGGGTTCCTAGGACGCGCGTATGTGCCCTGGAAGTTTCTAATGAAGATCTCTTTCAGGTCCGCCCAACTTTGGATTCTGTTGGGAAGAAGGTGTTCCAACCACGTTCACGTCGAATCGGCTAGGAACAATGGAAGGTTACGGATAATGAAATCGTCATTATCTACTCCACCGGCTTGGCAAGCAAGCCGATTGTCCTCGAGCCACAGTCCAGGGTTCATTTCCCCGGAGTATTTCAGGATGTTGGTCGGCGATCGATACCATGGTGGAAAGGCGGTGTTGAGGATGTGTCAGCCAAACGCCTAAGGTCGCGGCAAGTCAGGGCTCAGGCTTCGGTCCTTGCCGCTGTCATAGCGTCCGCCACGACGAGGGTGGTAGCCGCGGCTAGCCCCTCCCACATGTCGCCACGAGCACAACTATGGGCATCGAGGGTGTCGCGCGCGTCACGGTTGCGTCTGAGACGCTCATGCACCGGGACCACAGCGCGCGGCTTAATACCTTGCCGCGCCTGGTGGACTGATAGGTCCATGTTGGGCCGCGCTAAGGGCGTGATCTAGTGCCGCACGCTCGAGTAGTGTGCGAATCTCGTGATGGGCCCGACGATCCTCGGGCATCGCGAGCCCCAAGAGCCCCCAGAGCAAGGCCGCTGCGACGGCGATGTTCTGGCTTGCCCGGGTGAAGTGTGGGAGGGCCTCATCGTCCTCGATGATCCTCCGGCTCACATCACGAGCCATGGCGCGTGCACGCCCACCGTCTCCATGGCGCTCGATCTCTTGCTCGAGCTCCGTGTGTTCCTGCTCGAGCTGGACTCATGCTTCCTCAAGCTCTTGGTGCCGAGCCTTTAGCTGCTCCACCCGTAGGTGAGGTGGGGCCCTTGCATCCCCCTCGACCTCGTCGTCAAGGTCGTTCGATAGGGTAGCCTCTCCCTCGTGAATGCTTTCGACGTGTCCCTCAGGGGTACCTGCCATGAAACATTCATGAGAAGGGTGATGGCTCCCCCCGCTGGAGTCAGAGTCGGAGGGCGACCCCGACTCTCCCGCGAGGAGGTCGTGGAAAGATTATGCGACATATTCAATCATTCCCACGAACTCATCGTTCGCGGGGGATGGAGGCGTGCGTTGCGCCACAAGGTGCCCAATGGTCTCTGCGGCGTTGCGGAGATCGGACGGGAGCGCTGTCGGAGCGATCCGAATGAGGTATTCCAGGGAGAGCGGCTCCCCTCCGGCGAGCTACGTCACGACATTGGCGAACGTGAAGGTGAGGTGGCGCAGGCCCTCCCGGGACGGTCGGGGTCCTAGGAAGGCGTCGAGCTAGCGCTATAGCCTCCCGTATTCAAAGCCGAGGAGTTGGTCGCTCCTAGGGGTGCGGGCCTCCGGTGTGTGCAACAGCTCCTCAAGCGCCTCGGCGATCGCGTCGAGACCGGTGAAGTGGAGAGGTTGGACGGCGGCGGGAGCCTGGACCAACCCTCCCTCCGTCGTGACAATGAAGTCTAGGTTCCCGAAGCGCACGTGCACACCTAGGACCAAGCTGACGCCATGACTAACGATCCGAGGCCTAATGTGGACGTCGAGACGTGCAAAAGACCCCTACCTGGCGCGTTAACTATCGGTGTTTCGAGTTACCACCGATGAGTAAATTTCTAATATTGCGCGTCTGGCTTGGATGGTGTGCTTAGGGGACACGAGGTTTATACTGGTTCGGGCACAAAGTCCCTACGTCTAGTTCGTCGCTGCTGCTCGTGTTACTAGCACTGAAAGTTTGTAGTAGGGGTTACAAATAGGCGAGAGAGGGAAAGGATCCCAAGTCTGTGGTGGAAAGAGTGAACGGGTGCTGAGAGCTCGATCGTTGCTCGGCCGTGTGTTTGTGTCGTGTTCTTCTGTGTTTATCTCGTGTTCTGATCGGTTCGGGGTGATTCGATTGGCCCCCCTTCAGGGGACGTCCTGCTTTTCCTTTTATAGGCCAAGGAAAAGCACGGGTTACAACGGAGGAAAAGAAGAAGAACGAGATAGAGAGGAAAGCTTCTAGGATCGTCGGGTCCTTCTTCTCCTTCATGCGGATCCCACCGACCTTGTAGATGTTAACAGGGACAGCTCCACATCGTGGCCCTGTCCGTCACTGGTGCCACGCGCAAGCGTCATCTGCCGGTCATGGCGTTCTATCCCGTCCTAGCAGACGTCGTGGTGAACTGACGCGCCTATCACCATTCGTACGAGGGTTAGGCGGAACAGCATCGGCACGCACCCGACGCTGTTCTTGATGTGAACCCTCTGGTTTGGCGCGTCATGGCCACATGTTACATCGATGTGTGTCAGTCTCTTCCCTGATGTCATAGTCTTGACCCAGGTCCATACGTCTGGACTTGAAGTGCAAACCCAAGAAGTCAGACGAGACAAAGCCCGCACCCACAGAGTCGGGCGAGGCAGAGCCCACCAGCCGCCTGATCTGGAAACCAGCCAGGCGAACGGAATATGTCAACCGTGGAACTTATGGCTACCACCGTTTGTTTTGCTCATTTAACGACTACCACAGTAGATGAGTAACCACATGTAGACGAAAGAAAAGCACACCAGAAACCATGAGCGGCTAATGGTGACACCGCACAAGTCTACGGAACTGACGATGCATCAAGCTCGAGCTGTGCCCGCAGGTTGCCTGGGGCCGTAGCCGCCGTGCCCGTACTGGGGAGGAGCAGGGTTAGCCATAGGCGGCGGGTAGGGCGGCGGAGGACGCCGTGAAGAAGATGCCGCTCTTGAGCTCGGTGCAGCCGTAGTAGTAGGCGCGGTTGAAGCGCCAGCCCGGCCTGCTCGTCGTCGAGAGGCCCCGCTTCATCGCCGCGCCGTACAGGAACATCACCACCGCAAACGCCACCGCCGCCCTGACGAGGAGGCAGAGACATATACCGACCAATCACAACCAGAATCTCCCAACAGGCAATTGAGCGTCGGCCGCCTCGCGCAGAACGGCGGGCGCAAGGTGCTGCGAGTTCACGACATGCGGTGGCTTGATCTAGGCGCGTACGTACCAGGCGTTTTTGCAATACTTGACGGCGACGGCGCGCCTGAGGCCGGTCGCAGGCGCGTCGGGTCCGAGACACTCGCTGGCCGCGGTGGCGACGGCCACCCCTGTCAGCGCGAGCAGCGCCGCGGCGACGCCGCAGCCGAGCGCTGGCGTGCGCCGGTACACGCAGTGCTGCTCGTCGAAGGACTCGAAGCTTACGAAACCCTGCGCGGGCGATCGATCGATGGATCGAAGTGGACAGGTACAAGCAGTGAGCCCGCTGCACAACTCAGATTCGAAGAGCAGGGATGAGGCCATGAGGGGTAAGGCGGATGGAGTGTGTAGCTTGCCTTGGACTTCTTGGTCGCGACGACCCGCCGCGCTCACCAACACCACGCGTTTCTGCATCCTGCAATGTCACACCGCTCTGCCTCTCCAACAACGGATGGAATGGAAAGACAACCGGAGGCCGGCCAAATATCTGCTCAGCTAATCAGTTGCTACTCTACCACGAACGTCTGGTGTGAAAACGAACGGAGCAGTGCCCGCGTACACGGCTGTGCCCTAGGCTGTGCTGTCCTCTGCTGCAGTTCACAGTTCACCTGACTTCCAAAAGCTTTGCCGCGGTTCACCTTTGCCCTTGTTTTATTGGCGAAAAGTTTTTTTAAAAAGTGCTATAGTGCCTATTACATTAAATTTTGTGATATATATGGAGCATTAAATATATATGAAAAAAAACTAATTGTACAGTTTTATTAAAAATTACGAGACGAATGTTTTAAACCCTAATTAGTTCATAATTATAAAAACGAAACTGCTTCCGTAATCAAATTTCAACTTTCCGCGGACGGGCTTTGGCTTGGTTGACTCTGAAAAGATGCGACAATGACACAAGCTGTGCTGCAACCCTTCTGGTCATCTGGTCAGTGTACTGTCCTCTTGCGTGTGCTGCAGCTGCTGTGCGTCCGGCGCGTGCGTCGATGGACGCTTCTGGAGGCCGAACGTGGCCGCGCGGGGCTCTGCGTGGTTCAGGGGTAGGGACGACTTTTTTTTACCCCGTGCTCGAAAGCCTTAGTACGACTACTGAGCTAACAAATAAATTTTAGCCCACTCACTACCAGGATTTTATCATATGCCACAGGCATTTGATAAAGACAAAAAAAACACTTGACAAAGGTTTTACGAGTGTAGCACTCGACAAACAGTATACATCATCTACAGTGTCGGCAAACAACTATTTGCCGAGTGTTTTTTATCGCGTACTCGGCAAATGATTTGTCGAGTGTCAAATTTGACACCGAGGAAAAAAATAGTGGTTCGTCGAGTGTTTTTTCAAAATACACTCGGTAAATGAGCATTGTTTGCCGAGTGTTTTTAGGAATTACACTCGATGTTTTTGGGAATTACACTCGACAAACCTACTTTACAAAGAAAAATAATAATTTTTTTCTCAGCATATTTAAGTTTAATAGCTGTCATACAAAACACTCTTAGTACACCATATCTGCATGCACATCATGCTCCTGGCAACATAATTCTCATAATAATCACATGGACATAGAAATAAAGATGACAAATTTAAGAGAAGAATATTTTCGACCCCCTAGCTTCTTCCTCACCTGGAGCAAAAGAACAAGAACAAAAGAACTCGAGAATAGCTCAGATTTACCCATTAGCAGCATGAAAACTGTAACTTAATTTCACCTAGAGCTTAATTTAATTCTCTCTCTCTAATGAGAATTAAACTGGCCACAGAACTAGTTGCTTGTACTGGTACAAGCCATCCTAGTTAAGCAGCAAATAGAACAAAATATCCCCAGTACCAGTTCATAAGGTGCTAAAGTGTAGAAGTTCTCTAATGGAAACTTGATTTATCACAGCCACTCAAGAGTAGTATAAAAAAAAGTCACAAGGCATGGTTATGGAAGGGGAGAGCAGGGCGGCACGAGGCTGTTCCAGCGTCCTGCAGGTGCACCAAAAGGCCTTTAATTCATGTAGCTAAGCAACAATTTGAAAACAATCCCCTTCAGAAAACACAGGAAATAGGCCATTGAACAAGAAATAGGGCATGTTTTACATCGATTGGAATCACTAAGTACTAAAATTTCTCACTGTATGGCTCACTGTGCAGCAGCAGGGGGCAACCAGGTAAGGGCAGAAGAGCTAGGTTGTATGGTATTTCATCATGTAGATAGTTGTAGGATTGGTTTTACAGCTATTTCATGATGCACATATATTTAAAATCAAAATCATTGTCTTCTGAATAGCTCAATATCGAACACTTTATTCACCTCATAGTTAGTGTTTTCCAGGAGAAAAATGAAAGGTCCAATGATTATATTATCCTCTTAGGAACCAGTGAGGACAAAAAAAATGCAGTGGACACCAGAATTCAATTTTGCTACTGAAGCAACATACATAAAGGCTACACAGATGGATCAGAGGAGCACTTTGTCCACTGAAAATCAAAACATCAGCACGCTGCTATATCATGGATCAGAGGAGCACTTTGTCCACTGAAAATCAAAACATCAGCACGCTGCTATATCTAACTGTTGTTGTAAGTCTGAAACTGAACAATTGAAAAACACATCACCTAGTTGTGAAATAATTCAGATTAAAACCAAAACAATATCTATTTTAGTTGAGCAAAGCAAGTTATTGTAAACTGATAATGGGCTGCTGCTGCTCTGAACTGAAACAGTAAAGCACTGAAACACTACACAGGACTTAAATGAAGTAGCCATCCAGCCACTAAGTGAACTGATAAAATTGTACACTAATATATCAGAGAAATCTTGTATCATTAATCTGAATACACTTTGCTAGTTATTTCTTTCTCTGAAATATTTACTAAAGAACAGCTGCGAGATGTCAATAGCCTCAAATCAATTTTTTTGATAGGCCTTAAGCAAAATTAACTCTTTGACCCACTCATTGTTACATCCTGGAATATTTTAGAAGATACAACATAGAAAATAGAACTTGTTTAGAAGTGAACTTGTTTAAAAGTGCAATGCAATACAGCATAGAAGATACCTCCTAGAATATTTTAGATACAGGAGGCAGGCCACCATTAATCCTAGAGAGGAGCCTGAACATCCTTGAAAGATCTTTAACCTACAGTAACGAATATATTATAAAAATTTCAATAAGATTATACCCCTAAAATTTATCAACTAGTTATTAAGTCAAGGGATATCGAAACATAAAGCATCCATACAATATAAATTAGTCGTGTGGGCACCATAACACTGCATCGAAAAATAAAGTATCCATACAATATGGCTCTGTTCGCTTGGAGGAATTTGGAGAAATCCGGATGAATCTGGAGGAATGTGTGAGAGGAAACCATCTGTGCACAGTAAAAACCATCCGTGAACCGTACTTTTTAAGACCATCTGAACGAGGCCTATATATGGAGCATGGACGGGGTTATTATGGACATGTTTTGATGAGCTACAGTCAGTAGTTGAGTTAAAAATTAGCTCAAATTAGCTAAGGTTGATTAGCTATTTAGCTAACAACTAATTAAAGACTTGTCTAAAAAAATAGTCCACTTATTAGCCCTCCCGTATCTCTCATGCTTGACGCAGCAGAGCGAATTTAGATTAATTTTTATTCCTTGTTTGGATGGATTAAGGTTACTAATTAGCTGACCAGTGATTAGTCCAACCTGTTTGGATCGCGGCTAACAAGTAGAACTATTTCAACACAATGACTGATGTACCCTGACTTGCTTTTCTAAAGGAGTTTCCAACGGTGCTTGTGTTTGCGCGCAGCCGTGCACTTGTTCGTTTTTATTAAAATAATGCTGCAGTGCGCGCGCTCACATGCACTTGTTTTTTTTTCTTCTTTGAGACTCACAGACTCATTCGTTCCAAAGAGAACAGAAGTTCATACAAATGAAATTGTTCATACAAATTAAATCGTTGATAGTATCTAGAAGATTTGTCTGCGTTGATTCAGCCCCCTACCCCTTGCTCCCGCGTTGTCCATACAGGCGGCTCGAGGGGCGACCCAGCCACCGTTGTCGGACCCCGCCAAGCCGGCTCCTCGGTTGCCGTCGCCGCTCTCCAGCTAGTGGTGGGCGCCCCACTGCGGCGCCCAAAGACACCCAACGCCTTCCCTCTCCTCTCCTCCCATTCTCTTCCTCAATCGAGATTTGAATTTTCGGGCAAGGATGGCCGGCGGCGACCAGCAAGCACCGGATCCAGGCCACCCTAGGCCTAGATCCGGCCCGCAACCGGCGAATAGGCACGGCGGCTGGCGGTCGCGTTAGCCGGTGCTGTGGTCGAACGACGCGCCGCCCTGCTGACGCGTGATGGCTCACTCCCGGATGCGGCTCCCGACAGCGGTGCCTCTGATGAAATGAATCTCGTGCATTCTTTGATCATTTTGTAAATAGGTACTGCATCTTAGTTGCACGTTTACATTCCTAAGAATAGCTAGCTGCATGTGAGATGAGCGGTGTGTAAGCCAGAACCGTGCTGCGTTCACGGTGCGGCCAGGTGTGATCGCCGCCATGCCGCGCAGAAAAAAACCGTTCCCGCGCACAAGGCGGGCACGACGCAGCGTGAGCGCGCATGGCGGGGAGATCGTGGGTCTTAGACCGTGTAATCACCACAAATAAAGAGTAACAACGACGACAAGAAAAGCTGCAACGTTTGGCAGCGCCATTCTCTCGTGTCCGTGAGTTCTCTGTGATTACGAGTTTGAGAGGGTGAGCGACGTCGTGTCCGTGGTGAGCGCGGACGCCGAAGCGTTGTAGATCGCCGTCGGTCCAGCCATTCCGGCAGCCGACGCAAACATCTGGTATCGGAGCCGCGTTGTATGTTCTACGGTGGTGGTTCCGTGAGCCCACCGCGAGAGCCGCCGAGGAAGAAATGCGTGATCCCACGCAGAACACCGGAGTCGAGGAAGATGGCCGGTGACGACATGTCATCGAGCACGGGACTTGGCAGCGTCAGGGAGAGTTCCTTGATGTGGCCAATGCTCACCCGATCCAACTACACCGAGTGGGCCATGTTGATGCAGTGTAACTTCGAAGCGATGGAGATATGGGAGGTGATCGAGCCTGGCGGCGCCAATGTCAAGAGAGCGCGCGACAGGCAGGCTATGGGGTGCCTCCTCTGCTCTGTCCCGAAGGAGATGTGGCAGATGCTTGGGGCCAAGAAGACGGTGAAGGAGGCGTGGGAGGCAGTGAAAAGCATGCGCGTTGGAGCTGAACGTGTGAAGGAGGCCAACGCCCAGCGTCTCCTGAAGGATTTCGAGAACATCGCCTTCAAGGAGGGCGAGTCCGTGGACGACTTCGCGAT